TATAAAGATTTAAACCATTTTGATTTCATGGTTACTTGTGATTTCATGGTTACTTGGTTCTGTTTCATACTGTGGAAGTTTTTGATTAGTGGATCAATTGGCTTCTGTATAAAGATTTAATCGCACCCCTCTTTTTTTGTCCACTTTCCACCTCAATCCAGAGCAAGAAAAGTTGTTGCTTTTYAAACCATTTTGATGCAAAAACGCACTTTTCAAAGACAKACAATTCTGTTTTAGACAGGAGCTAAGCATCAATCAGACTCCACTTAAATCGCTGACTGTTTTTCATCTATATTGCAYAGTGGTATCAGTCTTGAYTGTTTTAGMTGTTGATTGTAAAAGTATATAACTGTGTTAGTTTTTGGTCTTAATTGCTCAAGACAGCTATTTCACAGTTATTTGCACAAGAGTTTTTTAAAGCATTGCAAGGTTTGGGTTTGGATASAGATATYAGGCTGTGTTTTTCARATTTTGGTCATACMTTGAATGGATATTTGAARCTTATATGTCGTTAAATGATTATGTGCTATAATGCACACAGTACCCTTGTGTCTGTTGTAATGCATGTATTTTTTTTTGTAATTAAGGACTACCATGCACCTCCCCCCCAAGAGTGATATGAAAAAATGACCTCTTCCTAGAACCACCTGCTGTAGCCTACAGAGCATAAAACATTTATTAATGACCNCCATGCACCTCCCCCCCAAGAGTGATATGAAAAAATGACCTCTTCCTAGAACCACCTGCTGTAGCCTACAGAGCATAAAACATTTATTAATGACCAGGTAAACATTATTGTTGTATCACGCCAAGACACTTTTTTTCCTCCTGGTGGATTACTTTTTTTATCTTTTTCCTAATGGGTGTTCATATTGCAAACCTTATGTGATGGCTTTGCAAATCCATCTTCCTAATAGGCAGATTGTTAGGTTCAGAGATGATAATGTAATGACAGATATTGTTACTAGAGAGAGTGATAAACGAACAATGTTGACTGCATTTTTCGACAGAAATAAAGAAGACGAGAGTGCAAGACAACATTTATATAAAGACTTTCCAAAACATTACACATGGAATGCGAGTGCACGTCGTTGGAATCAGAGAAAACAAGGATCAATGATAGGACGATTGGTTTATGCTAATCCCACCGAAGGAGAGCGGTACTACCTACGCCTACTTTTATCTCATATTAGTGGGCCTACATCTTTTAAAGATCTATTCACAGTCAATGACATATTATACCCGACATTTCGGAAAGCAGCACTTGAGAGAGGCTTAATAGAGACAGACGATAACTTATCACAATGTCTTGTAGAGGCTTCTTTATTTCAGTTTCCCAAAGCTCTGAGGAGGCTATTTGCGACAATATTAATTTATTGTGAGCCAGGAGATGTTCGCAAGTTGTGGGATCAGCATTACGATTCACTTTCAGAAGATTATAGACGACAATGCGAAAGTGTTGACCAAGTTCGGAATATGGTCCTAACTGACATCACAAGCTTTCTACAATCTATGGGTAAAAATCTTGATGATTTCGATCTTCCAAAGATAAATGTAGATACTAACTTACAATTTGGAAGTTTTCGTTAGGTACAAGAGGAATACTCCATAGTTGTGGAAGACGAACATTTACGTGCCCGAGAATCCCTTAATTTCGACCAAAAATACGCATATGATGAGATCAGGAAGCACATAGACGATGATCGTTCAGGAGTGTTCTTCATAGATGGTCCAGGGGGGGACTGAAAAACGTATTTGTATAAAGCATTGCTTGCCAACATTCGTTCTTGTGGTCTCATTGCTCTTGCCACTGCTTCTTCAGGTGTTGCAACTAATAATATGCCTGGGGGGTAGAACAGCTCACTCCCGATTTAAAATTCCCCTTAATCTTGATAACAACTCCATGTGCAACATAAAAAAACAAAGCGGGACTGCAAAATTGCTACGGGATGCAAAGATAATCATTTGGGACGAAGCGTCAATAGCTAAGAGACAGGCGGTGGAGGCGCTTGATCGAACAATGCAAGACATCACAGGGGTAACACTACCATTCGGTGAAAAAATAATGGTTATGGGAGGTGATTTTAGACAGGTCTTACCGGTCATGAGACGTGGAACCCGAGCACAGATTGTAGATTCAAGCCTACGAATGTCACCTCTTTGGTCTTCAATTAAAAAAATACGTTTAACTCTCAATATGAGAGCACGAAATGATCCATGGTTTTCAGATTTTCTATTACGAGTGGGTGATGGAGATGAAGAAATGATGGAAGAAAGCTTTATACGTATTCCCGATGACATGACCATTGCCTATACTGATAAAGATAAATCAAAGCATGATTTGATTGACGCAATATTTCCATCTCTGCAAATCAAAGGAACAGATTCAAACAATATTATTTCGAGGGCGATATTATGAACAAAAAATGAAAATGTCGATGAGATTAATGATCAGTTGATTGATAGATTCTGCGGCGATGAAAAAGTTTACTACAGTTTTGATGAAGTAGAAGATGACAGAAATAACTTCTATCCAATGGAGTTCTTAAACTCGCTGACTGTCAGTGGTTTGCCCCGCATTACCTCCGGCTCAAAATTAGATGCCCAATAATACTATTGCGGAATATCTATCCCTCTAATGGCTTATGTAATGAAACGAGATTGATATGTAGAGGTTTTCAACATAACGTAATCAATGCAGAAATAGTTGTTGGTCAACATGCTGGAAAGAGAGTATTTTTGCCGAGAATTCCTCTTTGTCCATCTGAAGATAACATGTTCCCCTTCAAATTGAAGAGAAAACAGTTTCCAGTCCGGCTTAGCTTTTCTATGACAATCAATAAAGCTCAAGGACAGACCATTCCTAATGTAGGTGTGTATCTACCGGAATCAGTATTCTCTCACGGACAACTTTATGTGACGTTATCAAGAGGGACATCACGTGAAAATACAAAGGTATTAGTAAAGCCTGCCAAAAAATTCAATCGTGATGGAGTCTACACATCAAACATGGTGTATCAAGAAGTTTTACGCGATTAATAAGGTACAAACGAGTACTTACTATTACACATTTTTTATAACTACGCTTGATATCTATACTATATTATAATCATAAGACATTTCTTACAGGGTATATCTATATATGGATGCTTCAAGTGGTATCTTCTCATACTCTGTATGTGTCGATTTATATTATTTTAGATGATTATATCTCTGTTTTGTTTAAACATGATTTTTGTTTTTTTTTTTTTTGTTTTTTTTGATCATGAGTTGCATTAAGTGAAAATCATTATTAAACAATCTAAGAATAACAATTGATGTGTGTTTGAAAATCCGTTAATCGTGCAATTATCTTTTCAAATCTTCGGTCAATCAACCGTAATAAAATTTGAAGTTTATAATGATCATAAACGTCATACCTTCAATTTACAAAAAAACATTCGCATTCCGCCGCATTACGCGGGTATCCAACTAGTATAGTATAGATATAGATAAGTACTACCTTTTGATGCATAAAGTCTTAAAGTCTTAAAAACAACTTTTAATACTTATAGTATAATAAATTTATGCATAAAGTCTTAACCTTTTAATTACAATATAAGAAGCTAAATGTACAACATGTGAATGCTACACTTGGAAGACATGTTATTACTTCCCCAAGGTGATAATTCAAGATTGGTTAAGGTTCCTTCTTTCCGACTATCTTTTTGATTATTCCTTCTTCCGGTTCGTATCCTCTTTTAAGAATCTTTCCTATTTCATCGCCCCACTACTAATTCCATTCAAGGTATTTCATCTCCATATTCACGTCTGTGTGTTGGATTAGGGTTCTGTGTGGTTTTTAAAACAGAATAATCCATAAGTGTTATCTTTTTTTTAAGGAGAGCATAAGATAATTCTGAATATGCACACTCGGGTTATGATACTGATAAGGTTGCTCAAGATGTCAAAATCAAGTTGTGGCATGTCCTGTGAATAAGGAATTTCAAGCACATGGGCCCATTGAACCGAGTGTGCTAAAATGGGTCCCAGGGCCGTAGATCCCTGGTAGACTCAAACCGGGGATGGGGGATGTTACTCAAACCGGGGTCGGGGTCGGGGATCCCCGGTAGAATCAAACTAAAGAATACTATTTATGGGGTTTTACCAGGTTTTGACCGAGGATTGCTAGAGATTTGACCGGGGACGGGATGATAATCCCCGTACCCGCCGAGGAACGGGGCCGGGGGATGCTACTACAAATCGGGGCCAGGGATTACAAAGTCCGCCCCATCCCCGCCCCGTTGCCATGCCTATCGTTGTATCTATACCATTTTTTTAGTAACACTTTCCTAATCTGACTTCATGGTATTTATTCAAACTGGATTCCAAGTCTTATATCAAAAACTAGTTTTTGGTTTCAATTTTATGATTGTTGAGTTGTTTATATCTGATTCTGAGTTTTGTTTAGATTTGTTTTTTGGTTGATATGCTTTAGTTTTTTATTCATCTTTTGGATGAAATTTTTTGTATCTTTTATTTGAAAACGATGAAGATTTATGAAGATCGCCATTTTGTCCTCTGAAATCCATGACCAACTCAATAGATTTAATCAACAAAACCATTCAGTTCTTGAATATTAGAGCATCTGGCATGACCTAACTTCTCTTATTTGTTTATACAACGATAATTTTAGAACTTGATTATACGACTTTAATTATTTTTCTATTGCAGGGAGGATCTGGTTACCTTAAAGGCATATGCTATCAGAATGTGAAAATGGATGACGTAGCCAACCCCATCATAATTGATAAGTTCTAACGTGATTCACCCAAAAGTTGTAAAAATCGGGTACAACTTTTTCATCTTCTCCTAATCTAATCAAACTAACCCAATGATTCCAACGGTAGAGGTACACTTTAGGGTAGGATGTACACAAGTCTTGCCTCTACCCCAAGGGGTGGATATATGCAAAGGTAATTATATCCCATATAAAGGTATAGTCTGAGAGTAAGATGTACACAAAATTTGCTAGTTGTCTCACCCAAGGGGTAGAGAGATTGTATTTGTGAAGATCCCGATCATCTTTTCCTGATCTGAAACATGAAATCAAGAAATCATTGCATATCATCTTCAAATTCTGCAATTTGATATTGGTTTTTGGACTGTCTCTTTGTTGGAATTTTTGGATTGTCTCTTTGTTGTTTGCTTTGATTTAGATTGGATTGGTGGCTATTTTGGTGGATTTGGCTGTTGATCTGGTTTCTTTTTTAGGGCTGCTCCATTTGTTTCATCTTGTAATTCCTACCTCTATGGATATGCTAAATTCATAAATGCATCACCTATGTTCACTTTGATTTAATTGTCTACAATTTTGTCAAAAACATTAAAGAGTTGCTTTATGTTAGTACTAACTTTTCTTTTTAGTAAATATTATTGACCTCCAAAAAGGTTACTATCGATAATTGATTTTTGCTAAATCCACAAGAATACGGTTTTAAAAAGTTGGTATTTTTGTTTATTTTCTTGATAGTTACCCATGTGTTTGATAGTGATTCAGCAAAAGGGGCTCTTTTTTGCCTGTTGGATTGGAGAATGAAATCTGGGTTTGGAATTTGAATCTCTAATAAGGTACCTCTGCACTTCCACTTACTGTTTCTTGATTGGTAACAAGGGTTTTTGATATATGGGTATGTTCTTTTATTTGATATTAATGCAATTTATATGTACTTTGATGAGGAACCTAGATGTTTATGAATGCCAAATGGGTGTTTATTTGGAAAATTGAAGTAGGATCTGATATAATTTTTGAAAATTCTATTGATCTTGATCAATTTGTATGTTGTGTTTGATTATTTTCTTGAATTTGAAGGTTTTCAAGAACTGGGTATCTTAGAAAAGGAGGGTTAAACTTTTTAACAACAATAGTCTGCAAGAACTATCTCATTTCCAAGGAGTTTCATCCCCTTTTTCCAAAATTTAAACTTTTTAACCACCATAGCCTGGGGTTTACAATCTCTTTTTTGACCAATTGCATATTGCCTATCTTATTGCACATCCCGTCGCATTTGTGCAGGTACATAGCTGGGTAACTAATATGGTTTGTTGTTTCTCAATATAAATGTTGGTTTGGAGACTTATGGTCATTTGTGATGGTTGCAGACTGTTATGGGTACAATCAACCATAACAAGTAGTTAAGGTGTATACTATTTGGACAATACCTTTGCATCATCGATATGAGTTGTATTTTTCTTTTTAACTTTAAAAGTAACATGCTCATTATTGAAATCCCTTTTTATAAATGTACTTTGGGTAAAACTATGTCTTCATATCTCTTAGGACCAGGAAGACGATTGGACAACTAGGATGGAATTGAAAGCATTTATCGCAGTTTGGAAGAGGGGGAAGGAGAAGGAGCCCCCAACTAGTGAACTCCCACCAACTGTGTTTAACATGATAAGTTTTTCTTCATTTTTGGATTAAATATTATTTACATGATTTCAATTATTTGTGTCCTACCTTTTGTAGATCGTCATAAATGCTTGATTCTTAACAAAACTGGTGCATAATATGAGAAAAAGAAACAACATAGCATCTTCATTTATATTTCAACTTCACATTGTTGTTTAGGAAATTTATGCCTACAGTTTGTTAAAATCATTCATTCAATTCCTGGGGTTTTAGTTTTGGGTGGTGGAAACTTTTTATTTTTCACAGTGATGAAATATTTTTTCGATTTAGACAAAGCTCTATTTTCTCTTCTCAAATATTTATTGTCATCCTCACCACTCTCGATTTGGTCTTGTGTGAACAACGTAGTTTTCTCGGTCAAGTTTTACAATCTCGAATGGGTTTTATTTTTCTGATCGAGCTTTGAAGTATTGAATTGCCTTCATTCTTGCTCAAAAATTGTTGCTTCCAACAAGGGGATACGAAATCATGAGCTTCATTTAAAAATAAATTTTGCACACTCTTCGGTAGAATTAAAGAGGCAAGATTTTTTTTTTTTTGATGAGATGCCTAAGGAATGTGATTTTATGGAGTGTCATTACAGTTGACTATGACATTTCATGGAATTTTGACATTAACCATTGTAATGGAATGCTATTTCAATTTGTTTGATTTTGGGTTTGATGATAGTTTTGAGCAAGAATGTATTTGGTTACATACATACTGTTTGATTTATTGGCATTTCTATAGTTGGGGATGGATAAATTCTATAAGATTCACCTAACATGTATGATGAAAGAAAAATGGGTTGTTATTGTTGGTCGAGTAATTTTAAAGGTTTGGATAAACGACTCGAAATTAAATCCCATATTAAGTGTGTAGGTGTAACCTTTTTATCGTTTAGGTACATCTTTTCCACTAAGACCTTGATTTTGAGTGAGATATACCGAGTATGTTTGAGTCATTTGGTTATCCGATTTACAATAAAATTAGACATCCCGCCGCATCGCGGGGACACAAAAAATTGACACTTTTGTTTATCTTTGATTGTTGATTTTCTCTCACAGTGATTTGATGATAATTCTTTTTAAAAGAAATAGTTGATGAACCGTCTTAATGACGACATTCTCTGTTTACAATACGAAATGCTTTGAGACGCGCAAAAAGGTCTGACACACGCGACCTACTTTTTCTTTCATCCAATCATGGATGAGAACGTGCCATATTTCTCATCATGGCCTTTCCTCAACCATCATATTTTTCCTCTCTCCTTCTACCTATAAGTATGGGATCTCTACCCTCATATTTTCTTTACGCTTACAAAAATCTTTGACGAAACTCTGCCAAAAAGAATTTGCAAGCAAGAACTCAATAACACTAAGAACTCGAATCCTTCGACCTTCTTCTCAAACTACTCAAAGGTCGATACTCATTTATTTGTTTAAACTTATAACTGTTCTTCTTCTTTCTATGAAACATATGCTTGAGATTTTAAGAACCTTGTTCTCTTAAAACACAAATAGAAAGATTAATAACACATTCTTATTCTTGGTTATAATCTTGTTTCAAAACCACTAATCTACTTGAAAAACCCTAATATCTCATTGTGAATTTCTCAAAAGAAGTTTTATTGTTCTAAAACTTAAAACGATAACAAATCTTGGACTACTAACAACTGTTTTTCCTTCTTATTTCCTTACAAAAAACAGACAATGGCTGCCAAGAATGTTAACTTTTCTGTTGAAGACATCTCCTTCAAGGCTAACAACTATGTTGCCTTGTTGGACATTCCAACAAACAAGACCATTTACGAGGATGTTGTTGCATTCCTTAGGATGTCCCCACTTTCCTTTGCTCTCAACCATGAATCTGTCATGGTTAAGGAGGCCCTTCAGCAGTTCTGGTTGATTGCTGAAGTGGTGCAAGAGGAAGACAAGCATGGTCGATAGGTGGAAAAAATCTCTTTCACCTTCAATAGGATGACCGTCAGCTTTGGCATGACCACTCTAAGGCACGCTTACGGTTTCCCAAGGGTCCCTTCAACAGCGAACCCTCCACTGCCGAGATCATCGCATGTCTCGATGCCATTGCCTATCAATGGCCACTGAAGAAGGACTCCAGCGAGCCCCTCAAGTCGTTGTCCAAGATCGAGAAGAACAGGATGTCAGCAGTCTGGCAATATCTCTTCTCCCACTTCATCCAGTCTATGGGTGGAAAGACTGGTGGATAAGATCAGGCCTCCCAAGTCGCTCTCATGATAGGAGTATTAGTGATTCAATGTCGCGCAATCAACTACGCTGCTGTCATTTTCGATGACCTGGCGCTGAAGCTGAACAAGCGCCAACGAGAAAAAGTGGTGCCCTACACCAGGTTCCTTTTAATGGTCTTCGCCAAGATCTTTGGCTACAAGTACTCAAAGAAAGGTAACCTCCCAGTCTGCAGGCTTAGATCCAGGATTCTGGATCACAAGCTTAGGGATGGAGATGTTGCACTCTCCTCAGTGGTGTAATTCTCCTTCTTCCTTCTTTCTCCTCCTCAGGTGGTGAAGACAAAGGCAAACCCCCTGCATCTATCCCGGCCACCAAAACCCCTTTCTTCCAAACGTTCTTCACAACCGACTCTTGGTTCTCCTCAGAGAGCCAAGAAGGCCAAAAAGGGGATAGCCACATCTCTGGCTGTGACCTATCAACAAGTCTCAACTATTAAAACAAGCCTTACCCCCAAGGCACTTTCTGCTAGCTTCCCAAGCTCTTCAGTGATCCCTGACATCACTGTCGTATCAGTGGCACCTACCCCAACCGCCTTAGTGACTCAAATCACTGAAGGTGTGAATATCAGCGCCGCCACCGCTGAACACCCACAAACTCCCTCAACCATCTTCTCCTCCCCTCTATCATTGGTCTCTACACATGTCCATGATTCATCAGTGATTGTCCTCCCTGATGACGAGACACACACCACTGGACCTAAGGTATCTCCTCTCAAGACTACTCAGCATACCGGTGCTCATCCTCACAAGTGCACCATGAAGCGTACCACCGATAATCCTTCGGATGTTGCTGATAACCCCTCAAGTATTCCATTTTCCTACCCTTTCATTTCTTCTAACCCAGATCTCCCTTTTACTCACTCTCCTTCCCTTTCAGGTCCGTCTAAGGCTCAAGAGGAGTACGACAGGGTGATGGATGTCAAGCTCATCCTCCCAACTGTCGAGACTATTCTAAGAAAAATGAACGAAGTCCATAAGGACATGCCTCGCAAGGAAGACGTTGTTATGGACCTCTCAACTGTTAAGGCTGAAGTCCAAGATGTCAAGAGCCAGTTCTCCATTCTCCAAGAGGCTGTAAGAGTAATGTTGAAGTTATAGCTGCTCTCACAAGCAGGGCTGATGAAGCACAAGCTCAGTCTCTCCAGCAAGCAGAGCTCTTACAATAAGTCATGCTCGCTCTTCGCCAACCAGCACTAGTGACTCCCCCATCTTTCACCACTAATGACCGTACTCAGTTTCATGAGACGCGAGAAGCAACGAACAGCCTGGCCAGCGCTCTGACGCGGCTGGAAGAGATGATGGTCCTCCAGATTCACAGTGTAGACCAACTCTCTAGCATATGCTCTCAAGCCTTAGCCAAAGAGGGGGAGATAAGGTCCAACGCTGCTGGACCATCTGCTGAAACTTCTGCTCCAACAACCCAAGACGCTAAGGCTGAAGCTTCTAGAGCTAGAGCTGAAGCTGACGCTGAGGTTGTCTACAATATTCCAACCTCCAGTGAAGCTGCTATAGCTGAGGACGCTGATGTCATTCGAGCTGAAGCTCGTGATGATGACCTTCCCATCACCTCTACACCTGTTGCTGGTGATGTGGAAGATGAAGATGATGATGAGGAAGGTGATTCTCCTGATCTCCCTGACTCCAATAGCGATCTAGATGACGACAATGACAATGATGATGAAGATGACTTCACCATCCAGTTCCAGCGTCCAACCACTCCCACCAAAGAAGTTGCCCTCAGGGATTCCGCATCCCAGGGGGAACGAAGGGAAGAAGAGTCAGTGCCTTAAAGGAACCAGGGACCTACGTCGAAAGGCAAAGGTGGCGCTGAAGAAAGGAATTTAAAGGTACTTTTCCAATCCTCTGAACCCTTATATGAATACATCACCTCTCAGGTAGTCATCACTTCCATGTATCAACTCGAGATACCATCCCCTACCTGCGGTCGGCTGGAATGGGTCCCTGAGAACCCTATCCCTAGAACTCCCACCGACCAGCAGATGACTCAACTCAGGGAGTCACTCGACCAAACTAGAGTAAAAATCTCTCTTCGTATCTCTAGTGGTGGTGAGTTCCACTTCCTGACTGAAGCTGAAAGACTCGAGGCCTTAAGAGTTGAAGAAGAACTAGAACTTCAAAGGAAGTAGACTGAGGACAGCCTAAAGCTGGCCAAGTCTCTAGCTGAAAAAGTTTTTCCCAAGAGAAAGTCAAAAAAGAAGGTGACTGCTGTCCAAGCCCAAGCTAAGCTCCTATCTTTAGTAGAAGCTGAGTACGAGAAGAACCTGAAGCTAGCTAAGCGGGACAAGCGCTGAAGTGAAGCAATCATGAATAAGAGAATCAGTCCTCACCTAATTAAGAGCGTCAACATCAGCGGACGATCAAAAGACGGTAGGATGTTGCTCTGCATGCTCATCACCAGGGACAATCTTGATGTCGTGACCGAGTACCCCTCCTATCTAAGCGAGTATGGATACATTGAATGGATGGAAATCAGACAAGCCATTCAGCGTTCCAAATCCAGATATAAGTCGATTATCAAAGACATCATCAGTGAGCTGATCAAGAAGGTGTCCAGGTATGTCGCAGTCCCTGAAAGGCCAACGCGGAAGAAATGAGGAAGAAAAAAAAGACCCTCAAGTTCTAATGATGGACCATCCCTAAGGAACAAACATGAAACAAAGTTCTCCTTAGATGAAGTCCTGATGGATTCTGTGAGTCCAGACATCTCTATGCTGAATCTTACATTGCCAGCAAAGGGTCCTTATGTACCCAACACTGTGCACTTCAAACCTGAGTCAGGAGTTATATTCCTTGACTATGACGGTGAAGTAAGATTTCAGAGAATGTCTGAGTTACATCTATGACCTATGGAACACCTCATATATTAGGTTCTGGCTAGATGATGACTTAAGAGGCAGAGTTATGGACCGAAAGATAAGAAGGGAATTTCTACGTCGAAAGGAGCGTGGAGAAAATGTACCAGGTAACATCAAGTTGAGTGACTTAGACTAGTTTATTTCCTTTGTAATATTGTCCATGTACTGTAAACTATATCCTATATGTAATTTCAATGATTAGTCTTATATTTTGTAAGTCTAGACATGTATTGAAACGCTTGTAATAATTCCCTTGAATTTAATATAAGTATTTTCTGTGCATCACTGAAAAAGATCCCTGAAAAGAGTAATAGGGATACAAGTCTATGAGTTCCAGTGTTACTTTTACATTTATTGACAATCTATAAGTCAGTGAATATGGTTTCAGTTTCAGTTTCCCTTTTTGTAATTTTTCTTAGACTTAAACTTAAGAAAATTTTCTAAGTAAAGACTGACTCACTGAAAAAGATCCCAAAACAGTTAAAAGGGACATGTACTTTATGGGTAACTTTTTCCTACTGTTATTTAATAAGACAGCTTTCTTTATGTTGTCTTGTTATCATCAAATAGAGGGAGATTGTTGATCCTCTCTCTCTATCTCTCTCAGTGATTTGATGATAATCCCTTTTACCTTATACGAAATATTTTATGTTTTTGTCTTTCAGTTCCAGCGATCATCACTGAGTCTGTTTAGTGATCGCTGAGAACATGTAATGTAAATCCATCAGCGACAACGATACTTCAGGAAGACAAAAATCACACCAAAGAACCTTCAGCAAAATTCGAAGACTGAAACTGAAGATTAGAGACGAGCGAGTACGTGATCTGAAGCGGTATTCAATGATTACAACCTGGTCTACATATGTGTGAAGACTGCCCAAGCTTCAGCGAATGCTGAAGAGACCTTCAGGTTATTCCAGCATTCAACGATCAAAATAAGATTGTTGGGCACGATTCCTTTTGTCTTGTCCTTATACACACAAAGGACAATCCCATATCCTTTCTAAAGTATAGTACGGTACGGAGCCGATTAGTTGACTCTACTACCCACCAACATTGTGAAAAGATGTCTGCTCATGAATAGGCTTTTGTAATGAATTCCGTAGCAAATGACAAGTCTTTCTCTAAAGGATTGACACGTGTTCAAACCCTACTACGTTGCATTAAATGTGCATTTAATGCAATGGGTATAAATAGATGAGTTCCATCTCCATGCAGAGACACTCTAATACTTACTTTTGAACCTTAACTTATGTTCATAAGTAAAAGAACACACATTTAAGAACACAATACACTTATTTTCAAAAGCAAGTTAGAATCCCTTTTTGTATTCTAAATAATTCTTTCCCAGAAAGAACTTATTTTCTTCTAAGTATTTTACAACAAATCTTTTCTCTATTTGCTAAGAACTAGTGTGCAACTTAGATTGTTTAAATAAGTTATTCATACCTTATCTTTCCGCAAACAATCTTGTAAAATATGTATTGATCTTTCTTTATCAATATATATTTTAAATTTGAAAAGTTTAATGTGTTTGTATTCATCCCCCTCCCCCTTCTACAAACTGTTATACACATCTTGTAGACCCTAACGGGACCAACATTGATCGATATATTCACTTGCATCTATTCAAATTTTATGATATATAATGTTAATGTTTTAAGCCGATAAGAGGGTTGATGTAGTGGTTTTAGATACCTGAAGAATTCATTCTTATTGCACTCATTACTTCCTTGTTTCTGTGATTAAGCATTTTGTGTAGGGTATCATGTGTGTATTACTTTTGGCAGATACCAGCAACCGGATAAGAGATTTAATAAGAAAGAGCGTTTATTGAGACTGTTGGTTGGTTTCAGAAGTTGTCATAGTTTTACTTCTTTTTGTATGTTATTCTGATGGGCTCTTTAGGTTGATGTTTTTTTTTGTTTTTTTATATTTATGACATTATTAGATTTATAGTTTTTTCAGGTTTTTATTTTTTACATGTACTCCTTATATATTTCTTTGATGTGGGGTACACACTTAAATGTTGCAACGAAAAGATATAGCTTATTGAATTTTTGCTTGTTGCTTGCCTAAAAGCATGGTTCTTCTTTACCGACTCGCAAAGAAAATATTTTGTTGCATACCTATTACCTAAAGACTGTAGGCATTGTAGGTCTTTAATTTTTTTTATCTTCCAAAACAATCGATTATTGCTATGAAGCATCATATAACCCTTTTCGGTTGTATCTAAGTATGATGGCAAGTACAACTTTCAAAGAGTATCTGAGTTCCGTTTCTGTCCAATAGAACACCTTGAATTTCTAAGAACTTGGTTGGACAATTACTTAAATGGTGAGACAATGGACCACATAATCAGAAAGGAATATCTACGTCGAAATAAGCTTGGAGAAGAAGTACATGGTTACATCGACTTCAGTGACTTAGAATAGCTAAAACTTTCTATCTTGTAAATCCTGTTTTCCTTATCTTTTGCTTTCAGTGTACAACTTATATGTAATAGGTCCAGAACTTATTGTTGTAACATTTGTATCTTTCCAATGAATAATACAAGTATTTCTCCAGTATCACCGAAAAAAACCCCCTGAAAAGAGTAATAGGGACATGTATCTATGAGTTCCAGTTTACTGTTACATTCACTGACAATCTTCCGTCAGTGAATATGCTTTCAGTTTCAATTATCACACTTGTACTTGTTTTTCTTAAACTTGTAATTATTTACAACTTAAGAAAACTTATATAAGAAAACACTGAAAAAGATCGTAAAATAGTTAAAAGGGACTTGTATTTTACTTGTAACTTTTCCTTACTATTGCATCTTATGCAATTTTCTTTATGTTACTTTGTCTCATCAAATATGGGGAGATTGTTGATCATCTTTTATTGATTTGATGATAATCCCGTTTACCTATCGAAGTATAGTGTTTTTGTTTATTCAGTTTCAACAATCATCACCGAGTCTGTTCAGTGATCGCTGAACATGCATTGTAACTCTCCAGTGACTCTTATACTTCAAGAAGACAAAACTCACATCAAAGAACCTTTAGCGATGTCAAAGACAAAAATTGAAGATTAAATACTAGCACGTTCGTTATCTAAAGCGGCATTCATTGATTACAAACTAGTCAACATATGTGTGAAGACCGTACAAGCTTCAGCGAATGTTGAAGAGACCTCCAACGTCATCCCAGCATTCAACGATCAAATGAAGTTTATCATGCATGTTTGTTTTTGTCTTGTCCTTCCACACAACAAAGACAAACCCATACCTTTTCTAGAGTATAATACTGTACGGAGCCACTCAGTTGACTCTAGTGCTCACCAACTCGGTGAAAAGATGTCTATTCATGAATAGACAAAATGACTATTCACTGTAGCAAAGAACAAGCTTTCCTCCGAAAACTTGACACGTGTTGTGTACCTTCTAAATTGCATTTAATGCAACATGTATAAATAGCTGAGTGTTCTCTACTTAGTTATCTAATCTTTCTCACTCTTTACCCAAGAAGTTACTTCTCTCACTACTCTCTCTCTGAAGAGAAAGAACCACTTTGAACAAGTGAAGAACACATTTCCATGTCTTTGTTTCTTACAACAAATCTTTTCTCTTTGCTAAGTGTATTTGTGTGCATCTCTAGATTGTTTAAATAGGTTTCTTTACCTTATCTTTTCCGCAAACAATCTGTAAAATTTGTATTGATATTTCTTTATTGATATATAATTTTTAAAAGTGAAATTTTATGTGTTCGTATTCATCCTTCCCTTTCTACAAACTGTTACTTATAAACTCTTGTAGATCCAGCTGGGACCAACAATTAAGAGTTGTGAGAGTAGAAGTGAGGAAAACCTTTCTTATTTCCTAGCTTGTATTTCTGTTGGATCAATTATCATTTTAACGATCAATTTCTTTTGACAATTTAGAAGATATGAGAATAGAAGTGATAAATGAGGTGTAAAGAAAAATGAATGAGATGTCACAAGCTATATATAGTGATATTTTGTGTACTAAAAGACAAAGCAGTGGTCAACTATGGAGGGCCGGACGCCCCCTGGAAAGATCTAGGGTTAGGTGGGGGCGATCCCCCTATTCAAGAAAAACCAAATGTCTCTCAAATCAAATATATGTAGGTCCTACAAATCAATTTAAAATATTTTTTCACACTTTTTTTTGGTAAAAAGAGCTCGATTGCCCCCTGTTCAAATATGCCCGGAGGCGATTCATATGAGTAGTTTAGTAAAACATGTAAAAATGACTATTTTATTAATATACAAGATATTATTTGATTATTTTTGACAAAAGCCATCAAACAATCGATTTTGGGTTTTGGCAATAGGGGCCGGCAATATCAACCCCCTTTGTATATTCGTGTCTGCGGTGGCCACCTATGTTTCCTACTCGTCTTCTACATCTCGCTTACGTATGTAATCATTTTTCTTTACTTGTTTGTCACTCATGTTCCTTTGATTTTGCTTTTAATTTTGCCTTTAAATTTCCTCCAGGTGCCATTGAAATCATCACCTAAGAGCTTCTTCCGATCTCATGGACGGTATTTTCTTTACCTCTCCCTTCCCTTTTTCATTTTCAATGCTCTTGTTTTCTTTCGGTTTTCGATGTTGTCATATTGTTTTAAACTGGAATTGAAATCTGAAATAAGGGATTTAAAGTATGAACAATGTGCTGAGCTCCATATTCTTAGACGTTATGAATATGCCGTGGAACAGATGCATCAATTGTTTCTGTTTTTTCTTGTTGAATTTCTTCGATGTTATGAGTATGTTGCCGAAACGATGCATCAGTTGCTTCTGTCTTTCTTGTTGTTTGTCGTTTAAGGGTTCAAACCTCGCTAAACAAATCTGCAAACGATCCATAGGTCCCAAAACACCAGAATCCAAATACAAGTGAACCATAAACAACAAATACAAAATATTAGGGTCTATCAATGAGCAAATGGCATCCGAGCATAATATACCAACCACAAGCTATCAAAGGCACCATAACCATAAGCATTTAAATGTAGTGAAGCAAGTAATGTGACACGAGATTTAACGTTAGGTAGTGTACGGAGGTGAAAGCATTTGTCCGCACGAGTTTGATTGATTCCCAATCTTCATCAATTGATAGGTCTAAATCCAAGGCTTGTGCATCCTGAAAAGAGATCTTGTTTAGAGGTATAAGCTGGCAATTGATTTAACAATGAGCTTGAGATATGGTATGTACATAAAGGGTTAGAAAAGTAGGAGAAAACATGGTTGTGCTGATTCACAAGAGATCTTGGATGAATGATTTTGATGTCTAGCTATATACCACAACCTGGTTGACTACAGGGTTTTTTATTCGATTAGTAAGGCCTTCTAGGTCAATAATAGAGGTTTTTGGCTTTCTTTCATTCTGCTATATGGATTAACCATGTTGGTTAATTTATTTCTATATTAAGTTTTTTGTTTTCTGCACATTGAATCCTGATCGACCAAATTGGACACATTTCAATGTTATTCACAAGCTGTCCTTTTATCCTCGTCAAACGGTTGTCTTAGTTACTATTTGAAATTTATTCAACTTAGCAACTTTTTTTCTTTCTTTCAGTTTAACTAGTATGCTGTTGTTGCACTGAATACTGCCTTGTTCCTCCGCATAGCCGTTGTTTTGTTGCTTCCTTGTTTGCATTGTGAAGTGATTATCTATGAATAGCTATTTCTCTACTTTCTGTCGAGATTTATATTTTAAGAAGTACTTTTTGTGCATACAGCTCAAGTACTCGTGTAGCTGAGTTACTACCGGGTGTTGTGGAAATTTCATTACATAAAGGCATTCTTAATAGATTTAGGACATTCTGCAGCAGCAAAGGTGCGTGTGAATATTAGATGTTTTCATCTCCATGCTACGTTTTGACAAACATTGAAGTCCTCTTCGTTTTAGGTATTATAACATTAGATCAGGGATAGAGACAAGTTGATGCAGATAAATACATAACAAATCACAACACATGTTTTTTTTAAAGTATATAATATTTATATACGGTAAATAGAACAAATAAACTCACACACCCTCCTCACCTTTGGTGAGGTTTTAACTCTTGACCTCCTAGGAGGCCAAGGACTCACATACCGCTAGGCCAAAGGCCCTTTGGACACGACACATGTTTTGTTGCTTCCTCCGATTCAAAAGATGGAAGGGTCAGACCATGATTACATTTGGTGGCAAGCTCCAATTTAATGTGCTATATTGATTACATTACAACTTGGTAGCATGAGGGAGGAGGGAGAAGGGAGAAGGGAGAAGGGAGAAGGGAGAAGGGAGAAGGGAGAAGGGAGGAGGGTTTAAGGCGTGACCTGTGAGATTTCAAGTTCTGGGTATTTGTAGAGGATCTTGAAATTTTGTAAGGATGAGGTATTTTATATTTGGGTTTAACTTATATCATCTATTTAATAACTCTTTCTTAAGAAGTCTAGGAGATGAGAAGAGAGACAACTTGTTTAATTTTAGGGTTTGACTGGGTATTTAATAACTCTTTATGAGATGCGCCTAGGCCCAACAGGCGCCTCAGCCAAGGCGCAATGCCTTAGTTAGCTTTGTGAATACACCTCGCCTCGACTTTAAAAAATCCTAAAACCTTGAGCCTTATGCGCCTCGACCGTGCCCCTTTCCCTGTTCAGGTGGTAGCCTTTTTGGACATTGAAATACCTTGTCCAAGACTACCATTTCTGAAATCACATCTGGCAATCAACCTGCCCATTCCCTCCCATATCCATATCAATTTGTCCCAGTTCCACCATTACTCCTTGCCTTTTCTGTTTCTTGGTTTTAAACATATCCGTCAAGGACACCAACAATCTCCTCGATGACAGATTTCTTGTTAGCTTCACCTTCTCTCCTCCCAGCCAATACTTCATAGTTTGGGTCTTATCAATTCAGCTTACAGGTGTCATTCAGCTAGCAAATAGTTGTAGTAAATATAAAATTGAATATAACCTTACACATTCATTTAACTCTTTCTGCCTAAGCTTGTATTTTATGTATATGAGAGGGGAGTCTCCTTTTTGCAGACAATTGCATCACTAAATTGTGGTTCCCTCTGTTTAAATTTTGTCCATTGCTTTCTTCTTTCTAAAAAGACAACATCTATGCAGTGTTGTTAAGTGGTCCTTGCTATTTCAGATTTGTCACTTCAAAAATGTGTGCCATGCAACAAGAAGGATTTGAGTCCCATGACAGAGGGGAATGCCAATGCGTTGAAACCTAAGGTTTGTTTATTTATCTCCTTATTGATATCCTTTTCTGGAATTCCTGAAAATAACATGATGTTGCTTATCATTTAGGTACCTGAATGGGAGTTGCTAAATGATGGTGGTGTAATGAAGCTTCGTAGGAAGTGGAAAGTTAAGAATTTCCTCCAAGGCTTGGAGTTCTTTAAGACTGTTGGTGACTTGGCTGAGGCTGAAGGTCTCTCTCTCCTCTCACTGCTCTTTGAATTATGACTCCAACAGTTTTCTCTTATCCTTAGTTTGACTGAGCATTTCAAGAGGACACATTTTTCATGGCATGTGTTTTAGTGTGTGCACATATTACTCTCGTAATTAAGTTTTACATTTTTCTATGGCACCAAAAAGAACCGGTTAATTTTAATACTTATGATACCATGGAACAATGGTTAATCTGAATGATACAAGTAGAATAACCGCAAGATTGATAGCATACGATATTCTCTCTCTCTCTCTCTCTCTATATATATATATATATATATGAATATTTGCTTTTAAGATTTGAATTTAATTGCTCAACTTGCATTACACTCGTTTTTTTCTTTCTTCCTCATTAATCAATGATACAAACATGCTTGTATAAAATTTAACATGGTATCTGTTATACCCAGAGGCCAGCAAGTCAATATTATAGGCAGATAAGGGAGAACAAGTGGCTAATGCATAGATAGTAGAATAGGTCATATAGGCCTAGTAAAATGTCTTTGTGTTGCTAGAATGAATGAGGGGAGTCAGGTTCAAGACAGAAAAAACAACTCGGAACGATTTTTCATTAGATATAACCAAGTTACATGACGATAGTCACCCACAAAGGTTAGAAATCCCAAGATCCAGCTTTAAACAAATTTGGACAAATCATAATGAACTAACTCAAAAGTAGCACTAGCATGTTTATGGATGAGGTTTGGCAAACTCGTATGATTAACAATTTAACGAGGACACTTTACTATATCTTGGCCAAAGCTTTTTGAGTAACATGAAATGGATGACCCAACCAACAATGACACCTTAACAGAGAAGTAACACTTGAACAAGCAATAGACTATACTAGCGGCGTGTCAAGAATGTAAAGGCCTCCTAACTCGTATCCTTTACCAATAGTTTGCTTTGTCACAAGATACTGAAATAAACTATGATGATGAGAAAATGAGACAACAATTAACATGATGAGTTAATTGATTGACATAGAGCAACTTAAAATGATAAATTAGTTAAGTGTATGACTGGAGACACATAAAGCAAAGGGGTAGGATTGATAATGCAAGATTCATGAACACAAGATGGTGAACCATCGGCTAAAGCAGTAGAAGTTGAAAAGTGTTACTAAAAGGTAGAAAAGAGATGAGAATTATGTGTAATAGAAACTCACCATCTTTCAAAACAAATTGCATAGGCAAAATAATGGCGTGACAAAAGATGAAACTTGTTTTACCCACAAGAATAATTGTTGGGACTTTAAATCATAACAACTAGGGATCAAAATTGACCAAAGATGCAACTAGGGTTTGAATGCTTCAACGACAGACAAATACGAGGCTAGGATTCGCAATCCTAAAACTCGGTGGTTAGGTTTCTAATGTTTAAAACTCTTGGGTAGTGTTCGAAAAGGGGCTAGGATTTGTATTGAACACAAACCGTGGTAGCTAGGGTTCAAATTACGTATGCAACGGGCAATGGCTGGGGTCTAGGTCATGCTTTGATACCATGTAAACAAAGATAAATTAATTTCTTGTATATTCAGGAAGCTACTGTAGGAAATTTTCCAACACTGAGTTCTTGTCGCCTTTCTGTTGAAGGAAAGAAAAAAAAGGAAAGGAGGTGAAAACAAAAAGCATGAGCTCTCTAAACTTGGGAGAGGAAAGGAATGGAAAGGATAATATCATTTATGCTTCCTCCCAAATGTGGGAAGGGAGGAAAAAAATCTGAAAGGAATCTGTGATCTTTTATGACAAATTATATCATACAACAATGTTATATATTTGTTGCTACACTTTCGTGCATCTCAAATCACTTCTATATGAACACATTTTTCATCAACTCTGCTATAATTTTATATTGAAATATCAGAACCGGTCTAAATTATAATTTCGCGGTGGTTGTTCCCTTATTCTTTCAATTGTTTTTTGTAACATTACGCGAAAACCTGTAGCTTTGATACATGTTTGAAGAAACCTTATAACCACCCATTTTCTAAATAATTTCTTTTATGCACATTGTAGTTTATACTTGATTCTTTTTCTTTTCGTTGAGTCATTTAGAAATAATTGTTCATTGTTTCTTTTCCAATCGTTGCTAAACGTTTTAGCTTCATACAAAACTACTTAACAACCCCAAAATACTCTATTTTCATCTCATACTTTAACACATTTAATCCTTAATACATAACATCTCAATGGATGATGACATACTATTTTCCATTAAGATCTCAACAATTAGCCGCCATTCACTTGGTTTGTCTAGTGGTGGCTCTTATCATATATCATAGACTTTGCAACATAAACCATATTAGTTTACCATCCTGAGATATGTTGTTGCATGCATAAATGAAGAGTACTATAAGAGATGTTGTCTAGCCTCTCAACAAGTGGTAAATGTCATAAACCTTTTTGTACGAGTGAGAAACCTTTTATTATATTGTGTCAAAAGTCAAAGGATGAGGGTGGCCTTCCCCAAATCGATGTATGTCAGTTGATGTGCAAGTTGCTATGATTTTTGCATATCGTTGGAAATGGTTTGAGGAATCATTTTGTCTCTTGGTTCTATCGTCGGTCTCGATTAGCCACAAATAGGAATTTCCATCAAGTTTTAGTGCAATTATATCATAAGATCAAGATCTTTGGCATCCTACCGGTGATATAGTTTCGAAAGAATCTAAAGAAAAAAGAGGATTTATCCATTTTTCAGGGATTGTATAAGGAAAATTCATGGAACACATGTTCGTCTGGGAATACCTAGTGAAAATGTCCCAAGATATCGTGTTCGTAAGAGATACCCAACAATAAATGTATTAGCTATGTGCGCATTTGATTTGAAGTTCACATACGTTTTGATTGGTTGGGAATCATAAAAGTTGCACTCACTAGAAATGATAAACTATTCATTCCCGAAGGTAATATCTTAAACCAAAGTTGGTTATATGAATAATCTTATATTTTTATATTAATTTCTCTTTGTTTATGGGTAAATACTATTTGGTTGATGTCGATCAACCACATAGAAGTGCACTCATAACAGCTTGTCGAGGTGTAAGATATCATTTGAAGGAATATTTATCCCATATACTTCATAATCCATGTCAATTGTTTAACCTTTGTCATGCATCATTACGAAATGCTATTGAATGAGCATTTGGTATTCCAGAGAAAAGCTTATCTATATTGTGAAGTACAACGAGACCATTTTACTCGTGGGGAACACAATCAAACATATTGTTAGCTTGTATTCTACATATTTTTTATTCGAGGAAGATCGTGACAAAGAACTTAAATAAGAATGTTAGAAGTATTTGCTAAAGATAAGTCAACAGGTGTTGCAAAAACAATCAAATAACATAACGAGTTCCATGGTTAATGTAGCTAATAGTATCAGAAAAATATCAAGGTATTGGATTTATTTATGTTATATATTTATACGTTATCGATGTCTGTATGTGTTAGCTTAATGAATGTCGTTAACTTGTCAATTACTTTTTTCTAAAAGGTATTGGAAGGATTTTGTCCATATGTGTATTCAAAGTAAATATATAATGAACCCGAACTCATGGGTGTAGGGCCTGATGTGATATCATGCAAATATTTTTGTCTAATGCAAAAACCTAGAAAAAGCATGTGTATTATTTGGTTGTCCTCTTCTAATGTGGATGTCTATTTTGAGAGAAATGATGGGTGCAAGCTAATAGAAGATCAGTATCTTCGACAACCCTGGTTAAATGAATTTTTAGCTCAGATTTTGGGCTTAGGAATTTGAAAATGTTATAACAACATATTAATAATGTGCAACAAAAATCGCATTTGGTAACTCACATCAATAAAAAGAATATATTAACATAAATATGAAGTGCCATTGGAACAACAAAATACAAACAAGAGCCGACCAAAGCCGAACAACCCAATACTTACAAACAAGGATCGCAAACTAAACCCAAAATCCTAGCTAAAAAAACTATATAATAAGTGGCTTGTCGAAGATGTTGATCTTCTAATAAGTTGCACCCATCATATCTCTCAAAATAGACATTCACATCGGAAGAGCACAACCAAATAGTGCAGGTGTTTTCTTTTAATTTTTCCACTAGAAAAAAGATGTGTACGTGATATCACGGAGGTCTTACACCCATAAGCTCGAGTTTACTAGATATTTCTTCCTTTGAATACACACGTAGACGAGATCTTTCTAATACCTTTAGAAGAGGTAAATAACGACCTTCATTAATTCATAGATGTACGTATAATATATAACGTAAATAAATCTATTGACTTCGTACATTCTCTAATAGCATTAGGTACATTGACCATGGAACTCATCATCTTAGAAGTCATTGCATCTTCTTTGTTAACCTTTGTTTTCTTACTTTTAGATATGGTTGCATTCAGACCTTCATTTGTGATGATGACACGGTAAATTTAACTTGAATATCGTCACGACTACTGAATTTCTCTATAATAAACTCATTGGTAGATAACAATTAATCAATTTCATCATTGTTTATACTCTTTGCTAATTGTTGTTTATTCGATTTCTTCTTTCTTTGGCTGTTTCCGCAGCAACACATGTTCATCTTATCTTTAGCAAACAATTCTAACATTCTTTTTCAATTTTGTTTTGAAGTATATAATATTTATATACGACAAATAAAACAGATAAACTCACACACCCTCCTCACCTTTGGTGAGGTTTGAACCCCTGACCTGCTAGGAGGTCAAAGACTCACATACCGCTAGGCTAAAGGCCTTTTGGTTTCTTTCTCAAGTTCTTTGTCGCGATTTTCTCAAGTAAGAAGTTCTTCATAATACAAGCTAAAACCGTGTCTGATTGTGTTTCCCACTAGTAAAATGGTTCGGTTCTACTTCTACTTACAGGACTCTTAAGTCACCAAATGCTGATTCAATAGCATTTGGTAACGATGCATGACGAAGGTTAATTCTCATGGATTTTGAGGTGCACAAGACAAATACTCCTTCAAATGGTATCTTGCACCTTTATAAGGTGCTATGAGTGTGCTTCTATGGGTAGACCGACATCAACTGTATAGTATTTACCTATATACAAAGTAAAAGAAGTACAATATAACATTATTCATATGACCAACTTTGGTTTAAGATTTTACCTTCGGGAATGACTAATGAGTAGTTAATCATTTCTAATGAGTGCATTTTTATGATTCTTGTGTTTGATGTCGTGCCTTCCCAACTACTCATAACGTATGTGAACTTCTAATCAAATGTGCACACAACTAATACAGTGATCGTTGGATATCTCTTAACAACCATGATGTTTTGGGGCATTTTACTCGGTACTATCACACATGTGTTCCATCAATTACACAATAACTTCAAAAATTCTCATTTTTTCTTGAATTTTTGTTGGAGGCTATATCACTAGTGGGTTTTTGAAAATTTTGATCTTCTAACGATGTAAACCTACTTGTGGTTGATTCCTCTGACAATAAAACCATGAGATGAAATAATTTCTCAAATCATTTCTAACGATATACAAAAATTTAGCAACTTGCTCTTTAACTGACATACTTTGAGTTGGTTGAAGGTCACACTCATCCTCCAACTTTTGACACAATATCATAAAAGCTCTCCACTAGTACAACTAATGTTCACGACATTTATTGCTTGTTTGAGAGGTTGGACATCTCTTTTAGTGCTCTTTGTCTATGCAACATCATATCTCGGGTAGGTAAACTAAGATGGTTTTTGTTGCGAACTCTACGATATGCAATAAGAGCCACCACTAGACAAACCAAGTGAAGCACAACTAATTGTTTAGTTCTTAATAAAAAAGGTATGTCATCATCCATTGGGCAACTATGTATTAGGATTAAATGTGCAAGAGTATGAGATGCAAATGGAGTTTGTTGAGGTTGTTGAGGTTCTGTATGCCGACTAATATACGGCTGGTTTTTAGCAGTGATCGAGGAAGAAACAATGAACACTTATTTCGAAATAACGCAAACATAAGACTGAAATCACCACAATTACCAAAGAAGCAAAGTATAAAGTACAATATGTATAAAAGAAATCGGATGTATACAAGTTTTCTTCAAACATTTACTAGAACTAGGATCTTTAATGTAATGTGGGGAACAATCATTTATCAGAATGTTGAGAGTGTGGGGAACAATCATTATGAAGATGAAATTTAGAACAGTACGTAATACTTCATGTAGATTATAGCAGAGATGACGAAAAATATGTGTTCGGATGAAGAACAGAGCAAGTGTAAGAAGTGATTTGAGATGCATAGAAATAACAAATATATAACATCGTTGTTTATGAGGGTAACTTTGTCATAAAAGATCACATGCTCTTTTCAGATTTTCTTTTCCTCCCTTTTTTCCTACACTTGGGAGGAAACATAAATGATATTTTCCTTCCTAAAAAGTTCAGAGAAGTACATGTTTTTTCTCTTTCTTAAGAAAAGGTTCCGAGAACACAATGTTAGCTAAAATAGTTACAAGTCTTCAATGGGTAACTCGACGGAGAAACGGTACTGCTATCCTTGATTGTAGTATTAGCTTCCTTGATTCAGGAGTAGCAAATCCACCACTGTGTTTAACCACTCTTATGTGTCATGACCCTTGGACAAAACTGTAATATTGGACAAAAAAACTAACATTCATTAGAGAACAACTATCATATTGATTTATCTTAATAATGCTCCTTGTGGCTTCCATGGGGATGCAGTGATTTGATATACCATTAGATGTCTGGTTGTCTTAAAGAGTAACAATGCCTTATCATGTTGTACTTCCCATGTCTATTGACTTCTCTTTCACGTTGAGACACACATTTTTGGTTGTGTTTACTATGCACACATTTTGGTTCCTATTTTGAGCAAACTTGATAATTGCAGAAACCACTTTATCTTTGTCAGGCCATGTAACGAGTAGTATTATTTATTTTGGGTTTGCTTTTTTGAGTCAAGTTTCTTATTTCTATTTCAGTTTGATGGGTCCTAGTCCCATTGTCATGATATTTCTGACAAACATGATGTCATGGTTGAGGTACCCGTAGATAGTTCTTTTCGTACAACATATATGAGCGCATGGCTAGGATATCTACAAGATACTGGATCAGAATTGGGATAGTGTAGGAACATATTTTTCATGGGAACCACTTTGTTAATGGAGTTTACATAAGTTAACATCCTCACTTACTGTAACATATGTTACCGTATATGAGGATGCTAACTTATGTTAACCTCCGGTAACAAATGGGTTCCTACGGTTCCCAAACCTTAGTTCTTACATATATAGGATTAGGGTAGATCCGGTGGTGTTTCAAACTCGTCATTCTAATGTCCAGGTCCTTGCCTTGTAGGCCCTGGAGGCTTTAGACTATCTTACTTTTGTTGATGACTTCCAGAATAACATAGACTTGTTTCAAGCTCTTACTTTTTATGAACTCAAAACATGCAATTTTATAGAAAATGTGGAGTAAATGTTTATTAGAATTGGCTGATATTGTTTTTATATATATAGGCCATCATCCAGATCTTCATCTTGTCGGATGGAACAATGTGACAATCGAGATATGGACGCATGCTTGTGGTAACTATTGTTTAAACAATTTTTTGCAGACTAAATTTTATTTCACCGAGAGTTGCTTCTTTACTTGCTCTCTAGATTTGCATTTTGTTATTAGAAGATAAAAAGGGAAAATTAAGTATATCTATCCTTTTGAACTTGTATATAATCTTAACGAATGAATGAAATTAAGCTGTTGGTTTTTCAGATATATGAAATCTTCTTCACCTTTGCAGGTGGGCTCACAGAAAATGATTTCATACTGGCTGCAAAAATCGATAAGCTACCCCTTGAATCTTATCTTAGGCGTAAATGATGTTTCGTGGAAGAACCTTAAGCAGCACGCTAAACCTGTATGGGATCTTTTTTATTTTTATAATAACTGTGGGTGTCTTAGCTAGCTTATACGCACGCACCTCTAGTCTGATGGGGGGTCCTGGAGTTAACAATCATGTAAATCTTCGGTGGGCCTTGAGGGAACTCGAACTTGTGACCAGTGGGAACAAACCAAAGGCCTTACCAGTTAAGGTGTGTATTATAAATAAATTTTGATGGGGTATACGAGTTCTTCGTGTTTTTGGTAAGATCTCAAAGTGTACGAGTAGAGATCGTGCTTGTTCTTCTCGCCATGGGTATTATGCTTGACATTGCAGTCTTTCGCGCTTTTTCAGATCCTGTCACGAGTTGATGGGAAAAGTTTTTAGATATTTTTCATGAGATACTGATTTGCATACGTCTTAACCCCTGGACCGTGCTTTTGAGTGAAATATACTGGTTTTGGTTTGGTTACATGAGCTATTGGTTTACGAGCAATCTGGATTTAGATAGAAATGATTGATATTCATTTATTCAACGATTTAGGTTATCGTCTTCCAAACTATGCTATTTGGGAGAGCATGGAGATGGGAAGACTTGAAAACCGGTTAAGGCTTGAACCTGGACCAGGTTACATATTGATTCATAAAAATCAGCTGTCTATCAGGTACAATTCTTTTAGGGTGTGTTTGGTACGTAGACAGGACATGACATGACAGAATAGGACAGAACATGACAAAACAGGACAACTGTTCAGCGTTTGGTAAGACATGACATGACTGTACAGAATTGGTTAAGATGACCAATTTACTCCCAGTGACATGTTTAGTGTTTTTTTTAACTAAATAATCAATATAAATATTAACAAATACGGTGTGTAAAGTATAACTTACATCAAACCACTACTACTTGCAAAATTATATTTGCAAAAATACATGATTTCATAATCAACTAATGATATATGAAAAAGGTAAATATAATATAAACATCAAGAATCCATTATCGAAGCAAATCTATATGCATTCCATACTAAGAAGAAAAAACTACTACCAACAAACGCACAATCAATTAAAATTGATTAAATATCAAATAGTAAATAAAATATAAGCATCAAGAAAACAGTTTGGCTAGTGATCCCATATAGTATCATTACATTCACAAAACTTGGATTCCAGAAAACAAAAGAATTCACCTATCACCTGTACAATCACTCCTGTAAGATCAAAATCAAATATTTTACTACTCTGATCAAGGGAAAACATACAAATCTCATCGAAAACAACAAATTCCATGCGTGAACCTCAATACGATTGATGGTGATAAAATCAAGAAAACAATTTATGTAATTTATTAAATTACAATAGAATAATTATTTTTTATAACAAAATATATCATTTGAAGTTTTCGTCAAAACAATTAAAATGACACCAAATAAAAAGTTTGTGGTTTTCTATTTTTATTTTTATCTCTTTTTTACATTTTATTATTATTAATATATAATAAATTACATAAATTAATAAAAATATAGAAACCGTATAAAAATAATATACAGTAAAATGAAAGTTTAAGAAACATAAAATACAATAAATAAAATTTAAAGAATGAATAAAATGTAAAAGAGAGACCTATTTGATGTTTTAAAAGAGAATTAAGTTTTATTTTAAGGTTATATTGGTAAAACATAAGTCTGTTCCACCTTGTTCCACCCTGTTCCATGGGGTAGGGGTGGAACAGGCCTGTTTCACTTTGTTCATGTCTGTTCCACATAAAATTCATGCCAAACATGAGATAGGATCTCTGTCCTGTTCTGTTGTGTCCCTATCCAGTGTACCAAACACACCCTTATTGTCCGGTTAAGGTACTCCTTAAGGTTGGTTGATCGGTTAGGGCCCATTTAAAAAGTTATAACTCCCATCCCACCCATGGTTCAACAAACTGGTTAAAATGGATTAGGCCTTGAAGACCGGTTGAAGGACAGCTTATCCGGTCCATATCAATTAAACATTTTGTGCAAGCATCGGTTGAATGATTGGGACTGTTTATGCCATAAGCTTGTAACCGGTTATTTCGTGACGCTTTTTCAATTAGTACTCCTGTGTTGGGTTTATTGCCAAATTTGTTCAAGAAATCGTATAATGACAAATTAGAAAATACTCTATAGTGTTTTTAACTGATTGTTAAAGATTTTACTTATTTTTGAGTATATTACATGTTTCGTTCCTATAATTTATATGCCATAACGTATCAAGTCCCTTTTTAAAATAATTATAGATTAGAGCCCTATGATTTGCATGCAATTTATAATGTATTAGGTTTTTGCCTCTAACTCCATTAATTTTCAAATTAATTCTGTAACCTTAAAACGTAGCAGAAAATAATTTTAGGTAACTTATTTAGAAAGCTTTTTTAGAAGAAACCCCAAGTTGGATCTAATAGTTTTTAAAACAAAATCTAAGCAAAACATATGGTGTTTAGAATATTACTTTTTAGATCGCGAAAATCACGAAAATAACCAGAATATATCTGATGTATTAACAAAATAGCTATTTTTTACGAGTTTTGCCAAAATAGCCACATGGATCACTCCCGGGGGGCATGGTTTGACCATGGGGGGTAATCATCTTAATTTGTTGACCAAAAGTACAAAAAGAATAATTTAAAATTAATTTGTGGGGCCCACATGTATCTAGTTTAGGAGACCAAACACTATACGCTTCGATAACTGGGATCGCCCCCACCTCACTGGAATTTTTCCTGGGGGCGATCCAACCTTCAAATTTGACCCGTATTTTGTCTTTTAGTGTATATCGATTTGATAATTAAGGGATGTTTTTAATAAATAGAGGATGATTTAGGCTGATTTTTTAATTGTTTTAGGACCAAATGTCATGGTTTTACTTTATAAAATAAAACATTTCTACTCTCACAACCCGTAACCCGTAAACACAATTTACCTTGACAACCCTTACAACAATATGAAAATACGTGAAGATTTATAATTTTTACCACTTTTTTTAAACGCATAAATTAACCAACGAATATTCTTACATTTTTTTATAAGAAATATATTTTTTATAAACACTGAATGTTAATATTCTATAAAAATTGTTGACACAAAAAAAATTATTTGTATCTGATTTGGGGGACAGAAATCAGATATTATATCTGATTTACGTAGTTTGACCACTATTTTGTCTTTTACTGTATAAATCGATTTGACAATTAAGGGGTGCTTTTAATAAATAGGGGACGATTTAGACTGATTTTTTTAAACTGTTTTAGGACCAAATGTGATGGTTTTACTCTATAAGATGAACACTTCTAATCTCATAACCCGTAACCCGTAAACACAATCTACCGTGACAACCCTTCAAACAATTTGAAAGTACGTAAAGATTTATAACTTTTTTACCATTTTTTTTAGACGCATAAATTAACTAACAAATGTTCTTATATTTTCTTATAAGAAATATATATTTTATTAACCGCCACTTCGAATATACACCAAAACATCATCACTTTGACATGATTTCATATTTGTGTTTTAAGGGTGAAGGGTTGTGATAGTAGATTGTTTTTAATGGGTTAAAGATTAAAGATTGTGATGGTTTATTGTGTTTAATGGGTTAAGGGTTGTGAGAGTAGAAGATATGAGAATAAAAGTGAAAAATAAGGTGAGAAAAAATAATGAGAGGTCCATGGTATTTATAATAAAACTTGTTGCACTAAAAGACGAAATATAAGTCAAAATTGAAGGCTGGATCGGCCTGGGGGAAGATCCGGTGAGGTGGGGGGGGATCCCAGTATACGAGACAAATAGTGTTTGGTCTCCTAAAGTAGATATATGTGGGTCCCACAAATTAATTTTTAAATTATGTTTTTTGTACTTTTGGTCAACAAAATGAGAGGATCGCCCCCATGGTCAAACCAGGCCCTCAGAGGCAATCCATGTGGCTATTT